AAAAAGCCCGAACAACATATATATCAAAACGAAACATTTATTAAATGAAACAGTCTCCATTATTATCGATTATGCTTTTCCATCTTACAATCAGGTTGTTAATACCCTGATTAAAGAAATCACTAGGCTTTGAAGCAAAAAACATGTTCGATGTCCTTTTTAACACCTTCCACATTTGCATAAGTTTTCCCATTAAGATGGTGTTGCAGCGAACGAAAAAGACGGTAATCTGATGGTGCGATATCTGGAGAATATGGTGGGTGGGGGAGAAATTCCCAACCCAACTCCATAATCTTGTGTTGCGTCAAATGTGCCACATGTAGACGTAAATTGTCGTAGAGAAGAACACCTTTCCGATTGACGAGTGAAGGACGTTTCTGATGAAGGGTTTGATTTAAACCATGCTCTGAAGACGCTTGTTGAGTCTAACCCAAGGCAACACAGTCGTGAAATGGCCCTGAAATTGTATGTCTCTCATGAAACATACGTAAACATCTAAGGAATATGGGAAAACTCTATAAAGAAGGTGTTTGGGTGTCTCACGAACTCTCCGATAATCATCGTTTCCAATGTGCAAACGTTGCTTCTGCTCTTCTGGCGCGTAATGCGCGTGAACCATTTTTGGACAGAATTGTCACCGGTGATGAAAAATAGATTCTCTATGCGAATATTAAACGCCAAAAACAATGGCTCAGTCCTAGACAAAAACCACTTGCGACCCCAAAACCTGGACGCCATCCACAGAAAGTGATCCATTACATATGGTGGGACATCAAAGGAGTAATTCATTTCGATCTCCTCAATCCACAGCGAACTGTCAATGCAGAAATCTATAGTCAGCAACTGGAATCCAATATCAATTCCAACATGTGGCCCCTGCCATCACAGTTTTTAAGACTGAAGTCACCTGAATGAAATTTGCGGAACCATCGTTGACACTTATGAACATTCAAAACATTTCCATAAACTTCTTTGATATTCTTTGTGGATGCAGAGGAGTTGTTTCCCTTCTTGTATTCAAACAGCATTACATGCCGAATGTGTGTCTCGTCATGTGCCATCACTATAAGGGATTAGAGTACACTAAACTTTACACATTATATAGGCTACACTAACGTGATTTTTAGGTGGTTTGTTGAACTATTATACGTGATGTAAATTTTTTTGGAGGGGGGTTAATGAAAGTGTTCCAAAACGTGACATTAATTTCTTGATGACCTAATAATGTTATTTGACCATTCTGTGTGTGACTAAGATCAGCAGAAAAACTCAGAACAATGTTAGCTTGTTAAACTACTAAAGATTCCCAGGAATATATCAAAGTTCTGTACACATATTATAAACAAGTCCAAGAAATAAAGCATTAAAACTTTTATCCATAAAGACAGACACACTTTAAAATTATTGTTTTATTACACATTAAAAGAGAGAAACACAAGCTTTATTTTGATCAGAGTCATAGCAAGTTTTATGTAAGCTGGAGTTTATTCTTGGTTATACATGTATAAGACATGTTTCAAAATTTTTGTATTAATTTTGTAAATATTGTGGCAACTGCATAATGTAAGAAATAATTGTTTTTTGTAAAGTGAATAATTATATTTATACAGGTGTTAAACTAACTGAGTTGTATTATTTTGAATGATTAACTTATATATCTTGTTGCTAATATTTTCTTCAAACAATAACATTTAAGTCTTAAGCATTACATGCAATATTTTCTTTATTGTTTATTATTCATCTGTGTAGAAACTTGTGAGTCACAGACTGCAGATATTTCTGTAATTCTTTTTATGTTAATAATGGAGGAAGAATGTATAGAATTTTTGCTTTGCTGCTTTTGTTTTTTGTTTGTTTACAGATTAGTAGACCAAAAGATATTAATACAGGACAGAAAAATACGTTTAAACACATTCATGACACAAAGAAGAGGAAACGTGATACAGCAAGGCTGTACAATCAGAGGGAGGTAAAAAAATTTTTAGTGTCTCAAAGCAAGATTTTATAAATTTCCCAACCTAAGAAATGTTAGAAATATTAAAGTAAATTGTATACATTTTCTAAGCTAAAACTAGATACTATTTGGTAAGCTTGTTCTAAGTTTCATGTAGTTTAATTGAGTATATTCACTATGACAAGGTCAGTTAAAAAAGTCAAGGAATATGATTGACATCCCTTCTAGTCCAGAAATGGTTAAATGTCCACCTCTTGAATATAATATTTCTGATTTGTTTACTTACCTCTTCTTACAGTTACAGCTATTCTCAATTTGACTGCTCTCTATTGTGCAATTTTTTGGTCGCCACTAGCCTTGAAACTCCCACCTAATTCTACATGTATAGCACGTGCTTCAGCTGCTTTATAGCATGCTACTATTCTCCACCAATAGGTGTGCAACCTAATCTTCACTTCTCAATTTAGAAAATATCTTTTCATCTAATTTGCAGTTCATCTCTCCAGGTGGGAACCTTCCCTCTTACTGCTGCCTGGATTTTGGTTCCCGGGTGACAGGTTTTTGTTGGAGATGAATCACCCAGCATAAATCTTCGCATGTGTGTGGGATGGGAACTTCCTCCTACTTTGGACTGGATGTTTCATTCCCAATAGTCTTTGATTTTAGACTGAAATTGACCCTCTACATTTTATTTCTGCTTTTCTGTCTTCATCTGGATGTACATTCATGGGATTTATTACTGCAGGTTGTACTGGATTTGGAACAGAGGCTTATCTTCCTTTTTGGTTCTTAGGCCAGAAGTGATTGGTTGAAGACCCTCCTGCTGCCATGGGCCATTCAAGTAACTCCTGGTGGGACTGGAGTTAACCTCGAGCTTATGGTCCGATTAACCTTAGCCACCCTATACATATTCCTTTGGATTTGGAATTGATATCTTGTTCCAGCCTTTTTGGTGATACAAGACCTATTGACTCCACATGGGCGATGAGTATACCTGGTTCAGATGTGATGCTGTCTCCCATGTGTGTTTCCTCTATAAGGAGGGCACACTCCATGGATGCTCTTCAGCAGAGACTTGCATTCCACCAGCCTTCTGAAAACTCCCACCTAGAGTAACGTATGTCCATGTGAATTTGCACTACTACTGCTACTACATAATGATGTATCATGTACCAAAGCCCTCCACCAATAGGAGTACAACACACTTCCTTACAAAAAAAACTTCCTCTACATTCTCATGCGAGAATCCTCGTTCTTTTCCTCAGCACAATTGTATGAAGAGGTATTCATGTTTACTGAGATCTATGACTTTTCTTGACTATCAAATTTCAATGTGATTGAGTTTAACATACTCAATATGATGTCACAAATCAATGTGAACTGTATGTTTACCAATCTACTAATGTGGATGAAGAGATTTCTCACACAGAATAATTTACTGCCATTTCTGCTGAAGTTCTTTATCTGTGGAAGACGTAACAGCCATCTTTCATTGTGTCCTTATGCAGCCAGGACCCTCTGCTGTCATCCATTCCATTCATTTTCTTTACTGCTTTTTGGGCCTGACATTGAAGAGGACCATTTTGATTGCTTTTTATCACAATTTCCTTGAATACTTCTTTACTTAATAAATATCTTTTGACATTTTCTGCTCACCTTATGAAACCTTCTACCTGTGGTTTCCTTTCTTCTACCTGACTGGTTAACTCCATACCCAGTATTTCCTTCAGTTTTAACTTTGCTCCTGCTGTTCTGTGCCTTGTTTTCCCCATCTTACCAGGTAACACATAGAAGACAAGTTACTGTTTGGATTTTGGTGTATTCCTCCTAAACCCATAACTCATAGTATTTAATGTTTGGACATAGTTTATTACGTCTTAACTTGTACCACATAGAATATAATGTTTAGTCATGGTTACTTACTCTTTACCATGTAAACATAATGTTAATGTTGGTGGCTTACAAATAAAAAAAAAAAAAAATACTTTGCCATTTGTTAAGGAGTGACTGACATACATTTATAAACAAAATATTCTAATCCTCTATTGCTCAGATTTCTCTTTATAGCTATATGAATCAGTTTAATTTATTTATGTTGATTTAAAACTTCATGTCCTTGGTCATTGAAGAAGAATGTGATTTGATATAAAACAGCTTTAAAAGAAATGACCTAAAAAACAAATTACTGTTGATGATCATAATGAAATAGTAAAAGAGAAAATGTAATTTAAACATTTTGTGAATCTTTATTTATATTTTCTTATACAAGGACAAAAATGAAAGTTGCTTACAAATTGTTCTTCTTTAAACAATGAATTTGTGATAACTTTATAAAAAAATAATGTAGATGTGTACATCTTAGGTTGACTACTTTCTATTTTACTATTGTAAGCTTTGAATTCTTCTCAGACTATGTCTTGTTTACTAGTTTCATTTTCTTTGTTTATTGACTTGATTAAAACGTTTAATTTATGAGGTACATTCTTTCCATTTGTGTTTTATAGGCCACCAGATGGCGAGATCATCAAACGGGTCTCAACACTGTCCAATACAGAGTTGTCAGCAAACATAAACTGATGATAGATGAAGCTTCAATGACTGTTATCAATGTTGAGTTGATTTGCAACTACACTGTTACACCTTGGTGTGACCACAAATCTGTAAAGTCCTCCAAGCATAGGAGGTAGCTTAAACTATCAGTTAGGTTTTAGTTATTCATTCTAGTTATTATTCAAGTCAAATCAATACTGTTTTTTCATATTTAAAACAAACAAATACTGTGAATGCTCAGGAAGTATAGTGCAATCTCAGGATTTGGAAATGAATATAAAAGAGTTAAGCCTAAAGTCCTAAAATTGAAGTACAAGAGGTAAACATTTGAAAATTATTTTACACCGTGATTAAAAACACTTTATCAGTATGAATGGATAATTACAAATATGTATGATAAATTCACTTTTTCAAAATCATTTTATACACATTTGTTAGATTTGGACTTTATTGTGTTTGTTTAATGTGTTTTTTAAGTACTCCAACAAATTATAAAAATGGTATAGCATACTTAATTTATGCCCCCCCCCCCCCATGGCACAGTGGTATGTCTGCGGACTTACAATGCTAGAATCTGGGTTTAGATACCTGTGGTGGGCAGAGACCATTGTGTAGCTTTGTGCTTAATTACAAACAAACAAATAAACTTACTTACTTTATTTGTAAAAAAATTGTCAAATAAAAACATAGTGCTGTGGATCAAAACTCAAACTTTTGTAAGCTTACCAGTAATGTCTAACTTTTTATTTTATGTGTCCAGAATACAGTTTTTACTAAGAAATGTTTTTGCTTTATATTTTTGACTGGTTAAATCTAATAATAAAAACAACACTGAATTATTCAGGCTTTGTGTAAACAGATATTTATGGTCATTATTTTTTTAACATAGTCATCATTTTGTTGCATGTATTTTTGTTTTCATATTTATAACTTCCATTGTATTAAAAAAAAAACTAGTTTGTAATAAAATTTGAATGCATATTGTTCTCATAAGTTTACAAAGAATTGAAAAACTTGAATAAGTGAAAATTTTTATGTGAAACATATTTACTCTTGTTGGATAATTCCATATTATGACCAGTTGAGAAAGTTGATAACATAAAATTATATTCAGTGAACCTTTATTTCTCTTTAGTTGTGAAAGACAGCTTGACAATTATTTTGTTTTATGCACATTTTTCTTCACATGTGATAAAATGTGTTACAAACAACAAGAAAGCTAGATACCCTCACAAGCTTTTTTTATGCTATAAATGGGTAGAAAGCTGTGTTTTAAAACAAAAGCTACATTATAAAGGAGGATTTGTCCAGTTTGATATTTCTTCAGGTTTAAGTGTGGATATCTGGAAAATTGAGACTTATAAAACAAATCACAATACCCAAATTCATAAAGGTAACAGTAACAGTTCTGGCTTATATAAATTTTAGTAAATACATATTTTAAAGTTTAGTTTTAAAGTATACGTTATTTTCTCATTTTATGAAATCTTTGATATTAATCATTAAAAAGCCTTCATACATTTTTCAAGTGTGGCACTCGAGTCTTGTTTAATAACAAATAGAACATAAAATTTACTGTTAACAGGATGAAAGGTGCTTAAAAGATTTTTAAAGAAAAAAATCAAGTTTTTTTTTTTATCTAGTAACATAGAAACTTGACTATAGGAATTTATATTTGTTTTTTCTTTTGCATGAAATTCACTAAATGTTCTTAATGATGATATATTTCTTTACAATTTTTTTTTTCATACAGTGTTGAATTTTAGCTTGCGTTTATTAAAAAATAATATACGTTCACTTTTGAGTATGATATTGGGTATCTACCAGGGTTTAAGCTTTTTTAGTCTGACTCCTAGGGTATTAAGAAAATATTTTGATGATTAAATAATTATATACGTGCTTTAGTTTTTTCTGCATTACATTTCTAGAATTTATAAAGTAATTCTTTTACAAGCCATCTACGAGTTTGTTTTTTACTTGCATTGGGAATTTTTGTAATTTTTTTATTGACAAGCTGATATTAAAAGGTGAAAAAATAAAGTGCAAGAAATAAAATTTAAAATATGGGAATTTTGTATAGGTGTAAAAATCACTCATTAATAAGCTGAAGAAATATTTTTTGGAAAGTTTTTTTTTTTTCATAAATCCCCAATTTGTAACAATAAAATAAATATACAATTATTAGTTAGAAGTGTGATTTATTGTTTTCAGAAAGACAAATTATCTTAATCATTAATCACTTTGTAAGAAGGTCTGTTAACAGTACTTCGGTATTCAACTTGTATGGGTGGTTTGCTAGCATGTTGACTTAACTTTCACAGAAGCCTGCATCTCACTGACACAAATTTATCTGTAACTACACAAATAAAAACACAAGCAACATCCACTATAACTAAATATACAGTGACACATCATTCATGTTTTTAGAGAAATGTATGCAACAATATCTATAGACATTGACTTCTGAGTTGCATTATAAGAAACCAAACTCTTCCATATTTTCTTTTGTTTATTTCCTACACCACCTTCCAGGTGCTGCTGCTCCTCATCATGGTTTTCTTTTCTTCTCTACTTAAAAAAAATATTACTGCAGGTGCACTTTTATTTTCATCTTTAGTCTTGATTTCAATATTTTTTAGATATGACTCAAAGCTCTACTTATGTCTTACTAGAGACAGCTTACTGCTTGAGCAGCTTAAGGAACTGATAAACCAGAACTTTAAGGTCACTTCCAAAACATTTTTATATGCACTACCTTACATTTATCATAATTAAAAGCTATCTATCATTTATGTGCCCAACTCACCAAATAATGAAAATCCTTCTGTAAAACAGCAGCATCCTGCTCACAGCTAGTAATACCCAAAACATTAATATAATCAGCAAATATAAGTAATTTATTGAAATTTTCTTCATCTCTCTCATGGATGTAATTTAAAAAAAAAGATCAAAGTTCCTAACATTGAGACCTGAGGCACCCACCTGTGAAATTAATTCAGTTTAATTGACTCCATTTATAACAAATTGCTGCTTTCTTCCAGGCAGCATTTTTTTTTTCATTCAATTAGCCAATCTATCTCCCTCCCATCTCCCACACACAGTTACTTGTTTAACAAGTCTTTTAAGTGACATTTTAAATGATTTCTGAAAATACTGATACCCAAACTCTACATCAGTAACCTTGTCTACATAAGCAGTAACTTGTTCAAGGCATGTCAACAGATTCGTTAGGCAAGATTTTCTCTTAATGAAACCATACTGATTATCCAACAAAAATTTTAAACTTTACTAAATGATTTGCAAAGCATCTTTTATCACAATTTCGTAAACTTTCCGCGCCAGTGATGTAAGACTAACAGACCTGTAATTACTGGGACAATTTTTATTATCCTGGAAAAAGAGGAGTAATATTAGCCAATTTCAATCTTCCAAGACTGTACATTATTCAAGAACTTGCAAAAATAGCAGCAAGTGGCTCAATATCCAATCCTTAACCTTCAAAGCCCTTGGGAAAATAATATCTGGTCCAGGAGCTTTATCATTCGATAAACTTCCCAATGTTTCTTAACAAGTTCAGAGTTGATGTGATCATCTTAAGGAGGAGATTCCATTAGTGGAAGGATGCCACAGAAGTTCTGTGAAAAGCAACTGGAGGATATGGACGCTTCTTGTCAATGCATCAAGGTAAAGCGTAACCAACTCAGATTAAGGAAACGTATATATAGCCTGGACCCACATAACCTATAGCACCAGGAATAAGATTATCATGGGTATGAAATTAGTCTTTATTTTTTACACAGCGCCAAGTAAGCCAACAGTTTATTATTTTGAATCGGCAAAATGCTGAATCTACACATCTCTATAGTGAAAACGTTTTGATATGTTATTGGGATTTTTTAATGATCCCCGCAGCAGATTACGACGTTGAAACACCTTAGATGATGAATCATCGGTAATTCTCGGGCATGTTTAGCTGTTGGCTCCTCTCCAGGTAGCCGTCCCCGAGTTAGCAGTGAAAAGACTAAAGTCAGATAGTCAACACTTGGGCTACTATTTTACCAATGAACAGTGGGATAGATTATAACATATAATTCCCTTACTGCTGAAAATGATTCGAATCTCGCGACCTGTAGGTTGCAAGTCCAGCACCATAACCATCAAGCCCTCATTGTAAATTAGGCCAAAGAAATTATTAAAACATTTCCAGTAAAAATAAAGTTGGTAGGATTTTTCCATTATTCTATTGAACAATGTTACGTATCTGCTTGTTTGTTAATTTCCGGTAGAAATTCTTTCCGAGAAACTTCAGCGATACAAGTCCTTTCTTGATTAACCCAGTTTATTCTTCCTCGACACAACTTATAATATGCAACAATTTCACCTGCACCTGAAGGGACAACCACTGGAAATACTTGGATAGTTGTCAGCAGATTACAGGCACAACTATAGAGCACTGGTAGCTGGTCTAGAGGTCAGGAATGGAACTCAAAATCAGTCTGAAGTCTACAGGGCTATGTTTAGGACGAGAGTCCGTGCTAAAGGGGAGAGCCTGCAAGAGCTGGCACAGGATTTGGAAAGCATGGCACACAAGGCCTACCCAACTGCATCACCTGATGTCTTCTAGTTGTTGCTGAGGGATCAGTTTGTAGACGCCTTGGACAGTCCACACCTTAAGATACAAGTAAAGCAAGCACATCCATCTACTATGCAGGATGCATTAGCCAGAGCTCTTGAATTCGAATACTGTGTTAACCCGATGAC